GAATTATATTACATCACTGGGTAAGGCGTATAAAAAAGTTATATGTATTGCACACAACGCGAAGGGTTACGACTCTCAATTCATTTTGAAAGATGTTATAAAACGAGTAAACAGCGAAATTAAAGCAATTATTAACGGCACAAATATAATTTTTATGGATTTTGGGGATAATAACTTTATAGATAGTTTGAATTATTTCCATATGGCTTTAGCCAGTTTACCGAAGGCCTTTGGTTTAGGAGATATTGCAAAAGGCTATTTCCCACATTTTTTCAATAAACGAGAGAATCAAGAATACGTTGGGCCTATACCTGAGAGAAAATATTATGGCGCGGATACGATGAATGTGCAGGATCGAGAAAAATTCTTAACTTGGTACAATCAACGTGTAGCCGAAAATTACCAGTTTGATTTCCGTAAAGAAATTTTGCATTATTGTAGACTCGATGTTACAATATTAAGGAAAGCGTGTGTGGAGTTTCGTAAATTAATCATGAATGCTGGGAATGTTTGCCCATTTACAGAGTGTGTAACGATTGCTTCGACGTGTATGCGCATTTTTCAAACAAATTTCTTGAAAGAAAAACAGATAGGTATTATACCTCAGGGCGGTTATCGTTTAGGAAAAACGCAATCAAAAGTAGCGATTGAGTGGTTACTCTGGCACGAGTATTGCGAGAATCATCGAATAATACACGCCGGGTGGACTCGCGAGCACAGAACGGAATCAGGGCATCGGCTAGATGGTTATTGGGAAGATGTTGAAAATAATAAAAAATATGCATATCAGTTTCACGGCTGTTATTGGCACGGTTGTCCACGGTGTTTCAAGTTTAATAGAGATAAAGAGTTGAGCCATAAGGATACATTAGAGAGTCGATATGAAAGAACAGGAGCAATTACAAGGGAATTGCAAAACTTGGGTTACGAAGTCGTTGAAATATGGGAATGCGATTTTATTCGTACAAAAAAGACAGATCTCCAACTGTCAAATTTTCTTGAAAATATCGATCAACAAATGTTTGTTGCTTTAGATCCTCGAGACGCGTTTTTCGGTGGACGTACGGGAAATACCGTAACACACTATGATGTTAAAGAGAATGAAAAAATTCGATATGTCGACGTTTGTTCGTTATATCCATATGTTTTAAAGACGGGGATTTTTCCTATCGGTCACCCCACTGTACATGTAGGGAACGATTGTCAGCTCATATGTCCTAATAATGATATTTCGCGGATAGAGGGACTTGTGAAATGCCGCATTTTACCCCCGCGACGATTATTTCACCCAGTTTTACCTGTCAAAGCACACGGTAAGCTACTGTTTCCTCTCTGTCGGTCATGCTGCGAAGGTTTAGTGCAAGACAATTGCCCTCATGATGACCCCACTGACCGCGAGTTTTTGGGAACTTGGGTCGCCTCAGAGATTCGTAAAGCCGTAGAAGTGGGGTATAAAATTTTGGAAATTAGTTAAATTTGGGAGTATAAAAAAACAAAACGTTATGATCCTATGACACGACCAGGAGGTTTATTTGCTGAGTATATAAACACTTTTTTAAAAATCAAACAAGAGGCTTCCGATTGGCCGGCAGAATGCATAGATGATGGATCCAACGATAGATATATTGCCGAATATGAGGCGCGAGAGGGAATAAAACTCGACAAGGATAAAATTTAAAAAAATGCTGGATTCAGAGCAGTAGCAAAACTTTGTTTAAACTGTCTTTGGGGTAAATTTGGGGAAAGAGAAAATTTAACGAAAAAGGCAATTATTCGGACATATGAGGAGTTTGCTAACATAATGTTCAATCCTGAAATCGAAGTGACAGGGCTTGTCCCTGTCGATAACGAGACTCTCTTCATGTCCTGGAAACATTTAAACGAAGCTGCGGAACTGTCTACCAAAGCCAACGTTGTTATTGCGGCTTATACAACAGCTCACGCACGTCTCAAATTATATTCTTATTTAGAAAAACAGCAAGAACGCGTTTTATATTATGATACAGACTCGGTTATTTACGTGAGCGATGGAACTAACGAGTTACCACGGGGGAATTTTCTGGGTGACTTGACCGCCGAAGTAGAGGGCTACGGAGAAGGGAGTTTCATTACGTCTTTTGTCTCTGGCGGTCCAAAATTTTATACTTATCGCGTGAAGAAACCGGATGGAAACATCGCAGAAGTTAGTAAAATAAAAGGCGTTAGGCTAAATTACGATACGCGTAAACAGATTCATTACGACTCGATTCGTGCCCTCGTTGTCGATAAGGTAGAGCCTTACCAGATCAACTACAAGGGTATACGACGGACAATGTACCATGACGTCATCACGAAACCCGAGAGCAAGATTATCCACGCGACGGGCCCGAAACGAAAGCTTGATAATGGCGCTGCAACCCTCCCCTACGGATATAAGACAAAACGACGCGCGCTTCAACCCGACGATTGAAAAACTAAAACGAATGAAAGATACTTTTGATTTTTTAAGCCAGTGTATAGGGTTTAGATTATGGATTAGAGTAATTTTTTGTAGAAGTCAACTACATTCAAGTTTTAATACCAGAAGTAAGTTTTTTTTCGTAGATATAAGCTACATGTAAGTTTTCAATTTCATTTTTTTTTAGATTTAAGCGAATTTTATATTCTTTTAGATGATAATTAGATGTAAGTTTTTTGTAAATGTAAATTTTTCTTGTCAAAATAAAAGAGAAAATGTGAACTTTTTTTTGTTTTTTTAAAAATCCTTATGCTACAGGAAGTAAATTTTTCAAGGGACTGTTTTCAAATAAAGAAAAACAAGGATATATAATTATTTTTTTTTATTCAAAACCTTAATTCTAAAAAATACATTTTTTAAAATCTAAAACTTAAAACTAAAAATACATCTTTTTTTTTTTAAACTAGAATTACATTTTTTTTTCGTTTTTTCTCTGATTTTCTCCTTCTTTGGGGTCTTATTCCCACTCCTCGAGGTCCCAGTTGTCCTCGCTCTGGTCTGGACAGGGCGGGGCGTCCCCGAAGAGGATGTGAAGGCCCCACCAATCCTCCACGTCATACAAGCCGAGAGCT